TAGGACCTCTCAATTGATATGGCTAATTTTTAACTGTTAGTCTGATTAAAATTATATCAAATTAAAAAAATAAGTAAAATAAACAATTTTTAATATAAATGTGACGCTTAAAAGAAAAAAATTAACAATAATTTTTTTTAATCTTATCAGAAAAACTCTCATTAAATAAACAATAAACAAATCGGTTTAGCTCCCTACCCACCATGAAATATATTATAGAAGAATAATTGCATAACTAGAAGTAACACATGCACACATGAAATATATTATTTCTACGGATTCAAAAATTTATTTTAGTGGGTGATAGGAATTCTCTTAGGGTATATTTGGTTGGAGGGAGGAAGAATGGTGGAGAGAGATAGTGAATCTCTTAGTTGGTAAGAAGGAGAAGAAAAAGTATAGGAGAGATAGATTGGAGGGAGACACTCCTCTAAGTCCACTATTTTGGATCATTTCGTTGATAGAAGGACACAACCAATTCACCTAAAATTAAAAGAGAATGATTTTTTTACACTTTAAAAGTAATTATTAATAAATAGTAAAACAAATAATAAATTAAATAAAAAACTATTATCTATCCTTTCAACTCTCCAATCCTACGAAAAAACACAATAGAAATCAATTTAAAATCATATCATTATTTATCTGTACAACTTTATTCATATCTATATCATATGTAATCTCCAGTACTTTTCTAGTCATAAGAAATCCATTTTTGTTATGTTAGATTTACTCAAAATGAACTATGACACAAACACTATTTTCCTTCAAGAAATACAGTATTGTTCTTTGAGCAAAAAAAAAAAAAAAAAGTTCCAAAGACAGTAACTTTGATCTTCGAATTTTTCAGCATTTACGAATAATTAGCTGTATTTGTTTACAAAAATTAATTTTTTTTGTTGATATTTGATGAAATTATTGCCTTTAAAATTAAATATAGCAAAAGTGAAGTAAATTTTATTGTACCGTAAATAATTAAAATAAATAAAAATTTTAAAAATATTTAAAATAAATGACAGTTAATAAAAAATTTACCAGATAAATTATCTATTTATAAATAAATAGATGATTTACAATTATTTATTTAGTATTATTTATTTTAAGTATTTTAAAATATTATTTACTTAATTTAATTCCATAAAAATGCAATTTATTATAATTTTCAGTTAAATAATATACTGTTTCTTTTAGCAGGGTAGAAAAGAAATCTTTTTCTCATAGTAATTAATTTTGACTACCACGTACATTTAGATGAATGACACTGTGTACTGTCACGGTGTTTTGTGGCAGTGGTTAATGCTATGACGTGCCAAGAAGAAAATAAGGCATTTATCAATTAAGTCACAATTTAAATTTTTTATTATAATATTTTTCTCTCACAAACACAATTTAAGTAAAAAACTCAAATTGTGAAATAAACCCTCTAAATCTTTTTTCAATTCATAGAGATAAAGTAACCTATTTATCAAAAAAAAAAAAAAGATGAACTAACTTAAAACCAAATTCAATTTATATAACTGAATTCATATTCTATTCACTTCCATGGTTTAGAACATATCCAAATTATTTGCTTTTGGACCCAAAAAAAAAAAGAACTTTTCGTCTTTTTAACTTGTTTGTTAGCTGGGTCCAGCAATTAGTATGTTACATCCAAATTAAAATAGATTAATATATATTCCTACCTATCAAATCAGTTGTTTTGAATTAGAGATCAACTGTGAAATTTTTTATTCATTTTGACCCGGTAATGTTTTTAAAATTATTTTATTTTTAATACAAAAATAAAAATAAAATTGTTTTGAGAATTATTTTAATACTGATTTTAAAATTGTGTTTGATTGGTTATTTAAGCGATTTTTTTTTTAGTATGATTGGTTTTTTTTTAATAAGAACTCAAATGAGAGTTATACCTAGCAGCTAATTAAGATGATAACTTAAGTTCTTTGATCTCGAACGTTCTTTGCTCCAAAGCTAGTTTAGAAAACCAATGTCTTCCTAGTCAATTCTTAGAATCCACGAAGACGTGTGTATGGGCACACCTGAGACAAAATAGGATTAATAATAAAACACTCAAATTTTCACGAACACCAATGCATGCACGACGTTGAATTTTTTGAGAAAATTTTTCCTTCCCACTCTTAGAGAATTCGGCCACTATGATTTTGAGAGAGAAAAATTGTGTCTCACAATTTTCTATAATTCTCTTACTTATAGAGTAGAAGTCAAACTCCTAGACGAAATCCAATCTTTATCTCAAAGATAAAGTTTGTTAATTATCTCCTATTTGAATTTAGAACGAAATCTCCCACTCCCTATCCTCTTCATATGGCCGGCCAACATTAAGTGATCCTATCCCTGTGGTAGGCACTAAATACAGATAGGGAATGAAGAGAAAATCATCATTTATCATGTAGTTTAATTTTAACTCAAATTCAAATTCCAATTTAAGTCAAACTTAAATTAATTTGAATTATAAATTGAACAACTTATCAAATACGTTTAAATGGATAAATCTAGATGTGTTACACTGTGTCTTGCGTTCACACTATGTGAACACCTTCACATAAGCGATCCAAAATTTAAATAATCACATTATTTAATTTATAATTAATTCTCAATTAATTATTCTTGAGTGCTTTATTTTTAAAATTCCGTAATTCTAAAAAAATCTATTTTACCCTTTGTGTCTTGTAGAATTACTAGGACAACACGGGAACTAATGGACCTATAATTCTAAGCTCCAATAAAATTAATAATTAATTAAACACTTTAATTAATTAATTCTATTAATTCCAATAACTACTCCACTATAAACTTGGAATTGCACTCTCAAAATTATAGACATAAATTGCTTTTAAACTTTAAAGTGTCCATTTAATATAGTCATTGCATATAGATCAATCCTCCATAAATAATTCATAATTAGAGGTAGGTAAAATCCGTTAATCTCTCTAATTATATCTTCATCCTTGAGTACCATTAATTCTCTAATGAATAGAGATTCATAAAACACATTTATGAACCAGAGCTCTCTAACTAATCCAAGTACCGAATCAACATTCAAGAGAATTATTTATCTACTTCTTTCTCAAGAAGGAATGGATTTCATCTTGTATAATAACATTCTCAGCTACCTACTTCATCATATCTCTAATATATAAGGAATAGGATTCAGAGTCTCAGAATCCGTACTGAGTAAATCAAAAGACACAAATTTATAAATATGAGTATGCTAAGAACTCAGGATTAAGATCATTCTATATATGACCATCAGTGGACTCAATTAGAGTTTCTATACTTAATGAAAATTATCAGAAACTCATATTGTGTTTGCGTCCTTGTTCCACATAATCTCATTATGCATAATGCACTCATTCAACATCTCGTCATATTAACAGTGTGGATAACACCGCTCCATTCTAAATGGGAATGACATGTATTAGTAATGTTTTAATTAAAGATTCTGAACTTTAATTAAATTCATTTCGAACATCATTTTTTATTATTATCCTTAAACATTATCCTCTTGCATATATACTTATATATAATGTTTAAGGTCACATAAATAACCATGGAATTTTCATTTGATATTCATAAAATATTCACAAATATATACACATAAAATGATGAATAAACTATTTTATTAAATAAATAATAAATATCATATTACATCTCATGCTTCTAGGACACTATTCCCAATAGAAGATGACTCAAACAGAAGCTAGGAGTGGATCTTCATCAACAGGTCGTGGCGGCGGCTTCAACGAGCTTATGGCGTACCTCAGTGAGAGCTTAGTAGTCGACGGTAGTGGAGAATTGTTTGATTTAGTTCAATGGTGGAGGGCACGAGCATTAACTTGGCCAGTCCTAACTCGATTGGCAATGAATTTTTTTTCGATCCTAGTCTCCACTGTTTCATCTGAACAAGCCTTCAGTACGACTGGATGAATACTTGATGAATGCCGAAACGCATTGCAAAGGGACATTGTTGAAGCTTTGGTGTGCATTAAGGATTAGGATCGTGCCGATCAACGTTTATAAGACACAATTTCACCGACAAGACAAGAATGGATAGATGAATTTAATAGATTAACATTTTACTTTGTAGACGACACTTCAGCTTCAAATTAAATTGTAATTTCTAAATATTTATTTACTTTGTACATTGTAATTGTAATATTTAGACTTTGTAAGTTTGTAATATTTAGACTTTTTTCCTTACCAAGTTTGTATCCTAATTGAGTTTTTCTTGGTAAGATTTTTAACGAGACAATCATGAATTACAAATTTAAAAATTAATATACAAAATTAATATTTTTAATTGTGTCAATACTGTGTGTTGATTTTAGTTTTTATATAATTTTAACATAAAATAACTTAATAATTATTTATATACAAATACAATTAATAAATAATAGTATATTATATATAATATATATACAATTTTATAAAAATTAAAAAATATAGTAAATATATTTTTTTTTCGTGCACATTCGGGTGGGCTCGGGCTGCCCGACCGGGCTCGGGTAGCCAAAACTAGGCCCGCGGCCCGTCCATGGGCTTCTTGGGCTCAAGCGAACGAGTTCAAATATCATGCTTAAATTCAGTTTGGAAATAGTAGGAAAATATAAGCCAATTTTTAGTTATAGAAATTAATAGGCCATAACTTGTCAAGTTATAGTTCATAACCAGATAAGTTATGGATAAACTTGTTAAGTTATGGTTCATAGTTAAATAAGTTATAGATAAAAATTGTGAATTATGGACAATAACTTGTCAAGTTATAGTTCATAATCAGACAAGTTATGAACGAAAACAATATTTAGCATATTTATTAACTTATATAAACTATTAGCCTATTAATTTTAATTCATCTCAAATCTTAACATATTTCTCTCTTTCTCTCTCTTTTTCAAACAGTCGGACCCGTCTAAAATTTCTGCAGTACTTTCAAATATGTTTGCTCCTTCCTAGTTGGCAACTTTTGGTCATAACACTGCTATATTAATATGAGGTTCAAAGAGCTATATTAATATGAGGTTCAAAGTGTCAGTTTTAAGTATGCCATTTATGTAATCATGAGATTCCTAGAGAAGTTTTCTTGTACCCAATTCCAAACGAAGGCAACAAAACTATTTGCCTTCTATTATCATCCTAAAACCCAACTTCATACTTACCTCAAACCACCAAAAGCAAACCAAATACTGAAGAGACATCTCAACTCCAATTGCCCAACAAAAGCTCTTTCACTATTTAGAGAGCTTTTGAGAAAAAGCCTCCCCACAATTGATAGCTATTCTCTACTATTTGTCCTAAAAGCTTGCACCCAAAAGTCCTCCTCAGTAGAAGGAAAACAATTGCATGCCCTTGTCATAAAACTCGGGTTTGAACACGTCATTCATCTCCAAACATCTCTTGTGAATATGTATTCAACGACATGTAACATCGTCGATGCACGCAAGTTGTTCGACGAAATGCCCGACAAGAATGTAGTTTGCTGGACTACCTTGATTTCTGCTTATGTTGACAACCGGAAGCCTAACACGGCTCTTCAGCTGTTTAGGCAGATGCAAATGAACAATGTCCAACCAGACCAAATTACAGTTACTGTTGCTCTATCTGCTTGTGCTGATCTTGGAGCACTCGACGTGGGAGAATGGATTCATGCTTCCATACGTCGTGAAAAGGGACTCAACGTGGATTTATGCCTAAAAAACGCTCTCATCAACATGTATGCAAAATGTGGAGACATAGAAGTTGCTCGGAGATTGTTTGATAGCCTGCGGAGGAAGGATGTCACAACTTGGACATCCATGATTGTTGGGCACGCATTGCACGGACAAGCAGAGGAAGCTCTCAATCTCTTTGCTAAAATGAAGGAAACAAGAGAATCCCCAAAGAAGAAGAAGAAGAAAAACGATGGTTGTAATGGAGGCGCGTCTTCGATTGTTCCTAATGATGTTACCTTCATAGGAGTTTTGATGTCCTGCAGCCATGCCGGGATGGTGGAAGAAGGGAAAAGGCAATTCAGAAGCATGGTTGAGGACTATGGTCTGAAGCCAAAAGATTCACACTATGGCTGCATGGTGGACCTCTTCTGTCGAGCGGGGATGCTCGAAGAAGCCTATGATTTCATCTCAAAAATGCCAGTTCGGGCGAACGCGGTGGTGTGGAGGACACTGCTAGGCGCTTGCAGCCTTAATGGAAGTGTTGAACTTGGCTCAAAAGTTAGGCAAAAGTTGCTCGAGTTGGAGCCTGCCCATGTTGGTGATAGTGTCGTTTTGTCCAATATTTATGCAGCCGAAGGCATGTGGGAGAGAAAAATGACTGTTAGAGATCAAATGACGAAGCAGAGAAGGTCACCTGGTTGTAGCTCAATTGAGGTGGGAAGTGGGATTAGTGAATTTGTTGCCTCAGATGATAATCATCCTTAGAAATCACAAATATGTGAGGTTCTTAAGCGCTTGGTTGTGGACATGAAAGCTTATGGCTATTCTCCACAGCTCTCGTGCCTAGATGACTCCTAAAAGTCCTGGGAAATTTTGTAAAGGTTAAAGAAAAGGAAAAAAGAATATTATTCTTTATGAAATATGATAAATTATCTTTGAAGAATATTATGATTATAGAGTGAGAGTTCTAATTTCTACCTGATCCATTCTCTCTCATTTTTTGTCTTTATATTCCACTTCTTTAAGGATGTTATTTTATGCTAGTATTTTTGTCTTTAATTCTTTATGAGCATTTTTATGTATGTACAACAAGAAGACGGCCCAAATTGAAGGATATGCCGTGATATGTCGTTTATCAATTTGTGATAACAATTCTTCAAAAGAGGGAGAAATAACACTTTGTTGGCATATATATAATATTCAATAAAAACGATATATTGCTTATCTTATACAATGACAGAGAAAATTAATTGTAAAATTAAAAGAATATGTGGTTTGTTAGATGATAACGGCATGTAGATTTGAATTATGCACCAGAATACTACACAAAAACGACGTGTCTGGTGACTTACGATATGTCGCTTATGGAAGACTACAAACGACATCGTTCCAACTTAAACAACAAATGATTGTCCTCCTGTTTCTTACTTATTTGCGCCTTTTTGGCATGAGACCCCCTTTATTTTTTTTCGCAATTTGCAATCTGATCTTTTTTTTTTTTTTTTTTTTTTGCAATCGACTTCCTAACGTTATAAATTTGTTTCAATTGAAGTTAGGCCATTCACTTCGCTCATTTAAATTTATAATTTGAATTAAATTTATAATTCGAGTTAGATGTAATTTTATGTGAAAATTTTTTATTATAATAAAAAAGTTAAATGTAACTGTTTTTATAAATTTTTTACTGTAACAAAACTCAAATTTTAAACTCAAATCGATAAAATAAACAGAATCAATCAGTGTTAAAAAATTATATGGATTTAATCACGAGATACTCACGTGCATCACTTACCTGCATTTCAAAACAATCAAAAAATCAAAAAATTTAATATATTAAAATATATCAAAAAAATTAATAAATCACAAAAATTAAAAACCCGGATCTTTTCTTTCTTCCTTCTCCACCGTCGAACCCAAACTGCCCTCCCTTCGCCGGAAAATCATTCCACCGCGCTTCATCTTGCCGTCGGAAGCTCAGACTGCGCGTCGTCGCGGTCCAATCTCTTCGATTAAAGAGCTTCGTCGGCAAAGGCACAGACAGAGCGTCCTTTCTCCCCTCCTCGCCGCCATCGCGGACGGCCAGACCAACCTTTTCTGTCGTCCCCTTCAAGCTTTTCCACTCCAGATCGCGGCTAACGAACATCCACCCATGGCTACCGTCGCCGAGGTCTGCCGCCGCGCCATGTCTCCCAAACACCCACCCATCGAGGCCCACCGTACATGTATGCTGGTCGCTTTCGCCGACAGATCGCCGTCGTTGCTTCACCGCCGTGGCGCCGTTAAAGCTGAGCTCCGTGATTGTTGCGCATCCCACGGTTTGCGAAGCCAAGATTTGTGCTCAGATCGGATCTGGTTTGAGTTTGAAAGAGAGATAATGAGAGGGACGAGAGAGATCCACAGGGGAAAAGAGGGGAAATCTTGGAAGCTCTGCTCAGTCAAGAGAGGGGGAAAAAAAAAAACTTTCAAATCTTTTCCTTCACATCTTTTTCCTTATGATAAACACTCGAGTGGAATCTGTTGCTGGGTTCATGAGCAATAATATGCAAATAATGTTCTTCAGGGTTTTGAGTTTGAGATGTGATTTTATGTGAAAATTTTTTATTGTAATAAAAAATTTAAATATGATTATTTTTTAAAATTTTTTATTATAATAAAAATTAAATTTTAAATTTAAATTGGTGAAGTGAACGAGATAATACTTTATTCTGGTGTTGTGTTATTTGAGTTTTTTTTTTTTTTTTTGGTTAATATGATTTCTGGGTGTCTGATGTTCTTCATATCTCGGTTGTGTTATTTGAGTTGCTCGTTCATGCGTGTTGTTGAAGATTAGATCTGTGTTATTGAGGTTAATCTGAGTTGTTTTGTTGATTTTACTTTTTCTTCATTGGCTTGAATCCTTTTTTTATTATTATTATTTTATAATATTTAAAAAATCTTTTAAAATCATTTTGAACTAATTTGAATTTAATTTGTGGTTAATAATTAAATTTGAGTTAGAAATAATGGAAATGACCACTACTGCCCCTGGTAAGTGATGCACATGAGTATCACGTGATTAAATCCGTAGAATTTCTAACACTGTTTCAATTGCAGCGAATTTGTAACATTAGAGAGCAGATTGCAAAAATAAAAAAGTTTTAAGGATTAAATTACAAGTCGTGAAAAGTTAAGGGGGTCACAAGCCAAAAAGCCTAATTTTTAAAATTTCGTTTACAAACTCTTTGCTTAGTAGCAAATTTATCAAATTGAAGAACGATCGTCTGGAGACTCTTGCTACACCTTGCAAGATATCTCCGGCAAGTGGAAGCTCTTGGTGCACTGATCTTGCATGACAGGGTTGTCACGTGGTGCTTTGCCCTCCGTCACCTCTTTTGTTCTTTTTCTTTGAATTTTCTATTATTATGGTGATAAAACTATTATCATTTATTCGAATTAATGTCTTTTTTATTTTTTATATTTGAATTCATAATTCTGATACTGTTATAGTATTTTTTATCTTATAAAAAATTTAAAATTTAAAATTTCTTTTTTCATAAAGTTTTCTTCAATGAATCAAAATCACTAACTTAAATATGTGAATCAAATGGACCCTGAATTAAAAAGTAAATGCATGTGAGATAAACCTTCGTAACAAAAAAATTGAATTCAGAATTTTTATTAGAGAAAATACTATAATAAAAACTTGAGTTGTGATTCAAATTAGCGTAATAAACGAGACTGATTTCTGCATATTTTTTTTTCTTTAGTGATTTAAAAAAAAAACTATTTAACTGCAAATATCCCCTATGATATTGTTAACGCATTTATTTAAACTTTTCTTTTAACTCAAGGATATGGTATTCAAGGACACACTGTCAAACGATGCTCCCTTTATCGACTTGTTAACACCCAATCCTCATCGGCTCCATTGACAACACGTCCACAGACTCCTCGTCCTGCTTTTCCATGGCAACTACGTGCACACTTTGCATCTCTTGACACCACCGACACCCCCACATGGCTACTTGATAGTGGGGCATCGCACCATGTCACCGCGGATTTGAATAATCTTTCACTTAACACTCCTTATGCAGGGTCTGATGACGTTATGATCGGCGATGGCTCGGGTCTTCACATTACCCATACCGGTTCCACCACCATTCCTACCCCTACTCGCACTTTTAATTTACATAATATCCTTTGTGTGCCCAACATGAAAAAGAACCTTATTTCTATCTATCAATTTTGTAATACTAATCATGTTTCTATTGAATTCTTACCCACTGTTTTTCACGTAAAGGATCTGAGCACGGGGGTAATCCTTTTGACTGGAAACACTAAAGATGGCGTCTACGAGTGGCCAACCTCCTCTCCAACATTGTCTTCTCCGCTTGTTGTCTTTTCCAGAGTCAATACCACTTCCTCCGAGTGGCACTCTAGATTAGGTCATCCATCATCACCTATTCTTTAGCATATTATGTCAACATTTTCTTTACCTCATTCTATGTCACAAAACTCTAATTGTAATGCGTGTTTAAGCAATACAAGTCATAAGTTTCCTTTTTCCACATCTACAATTGTTTCATCTCACCCCTTACAAATCATATTTTCAAATGTTTGGACCTCCCCCGTCTATTCTATTGATGATTTCAAGTATTATGTTATTTTTGTTGATCACTTTACATGTTATGTATGGTATTACCCCTTAAAGAAGAAATCTCATGTCTGTGATGTCTTTCTTTGTTTCAAAGCACTAGTAGAAAATCACTTCAAACACTCCATTGTCACTCTTTACTCCGATAATGATGGGGAATATGAAGCATTAGATCAATTTCTATCGCTTCATGGAATTTCTCATCTCACCTCTCCCCCACATACACCTGAACACAATGGTCTCTTCGAACGCCGACATCGACATATTGTTGAAACCGGTCTTTCTCTTCTCACTCACGCTTCACTTCCGCTCATATACTGGAATTATACCTTTGCAACCGCTGTGTACCTCATTAATCGCATGCCCACACCCACACTTTCACTTTCCTCTCCTTATGAGTCCCTTTTCCGCTCTCCACCAAACTACACAAAACTTTGTATCTTTGGTTGTTTATGCTATCCATGGCTTCGTCCCTATTCCAATCATAAACTTGAGTCTCGATCCGTCCCTTGTATGTTTGTTAGGTACTCCCCCACCCAAAGTGCCCATCTCTGTCTTGATCCTTCCACTTCTAAAATCTACACATCCTGTCATATCAAATTTGTGGAATCTGTGTTTCCATTCAATTTCATTCAAAGTCATCTTAGTCGTCCAAGTCCAGAAACACTCCCAACTTGGTTTCCTTCAGCGTCATTTCTTCCCACTATGGTTGCGCCACTCAACACACCCTCCACAGCCTCACCTTTGGGTCGAATCCATCTCACCGCCAACCTCCAGTCGACCACTCCACATCCTCAATCCATCGCACATCCTTTGAAACTCCATGTCCCATAACCGAAACCCCACTTCCTCTCAGCCAAACTCCGATAGACCGAGCCCCGTCATCTGATCACCCAACACATTCCACCAACACCAACAATAACCCACACAATCCATCCTCTACTTCCTTATTACTCTCTCCAGACTCCCTTCCTCCAAACCCACCTACCAACACCCATACCATGACCATTCGTGCTAAAAACAACATCCATAGACCCATTCAAAAACTTAATCTTACCGCTACCATCACCTCGACCCATCAACTTGAACCGCACACATTGACCCAAGCCCTCAAAGATCCTAAATGGCATCAGGCTATGTATGAAGATTACGATGCTCTTGTGCGGAATGGAACATGGGAACTTGTCCCCCCTGATTCAACGCAAAATCTTGTCGGTTGTAAATGGATTTTTAGAATTAAATGTTTACCTGATGGCTCAATTGATAGGTACAAAGCACGATTAGGTTCTAAAGGATTCCATCAAGGTCCTGGTGTTGATTATCATGAAAAATTCAGTCCGGTTGTCAAACCTACCACTGTTCGCTTGGTTCTCAGTCTTGTTGTTAGTCGAGGATAGTCTTTTCGTCAACTTGATGTCAACAATGGCTTTCTACAAGGTCATCTATCTAAAGATGTTTTCATGGCACATCCACTAGGATTTCTTGACCATGATAATCCCACACATGTCTGCAAGTTACGCAAGGCTATATATGGTCTCAAACAAGCACCACGGGCCTGGTACCATGAGCTAAGACAATTTCTTGTCGCCTATGGGTTTACAAACTCTCATGCGGACACATCACTCTTTGTCTTCAACACCAGCGATAATCTAGTCTATCTCCTTGTGTATGTTGATGACATCATTATTACTGGATGTAATGGCACTACCGTTCAACAGTTTATTGATCTTCTTGGCAAAAGATTTTCCATCAAGGATCTTGGTGATTTGACTTACTTTCTTGGTGTTGAAGTTGCCACTACTTCCACTGGTTTACTTCTCTCTCAGCGAAAATATATCACAGATCTTCTCGCTCGCACAAATATGACAGGGGCCAAATCTGTCACCACTCCACTTGCCACCGAGCCAACACTTACTATTCTTTCCAGCACTGCTTTGACATATCCTTCTGAATACAGAACAGTTGTTAGAAGTCTCCAATACTTGTGCCTCACTCGCCTTGATATTTCATATGTTGTTAATAAGTTGTCTCAATTCATGCATTGACCTACTACTGATAATTGGAATGCTGTCATGCGGTTGCTTCGCTATCTTTCTGGTACAGCTGATCATGGTCTTGCCTTGCACTATCACAGATCTCTATCTCTTCATGCCTTCCCCGATGCTGACTGGGCCGGTAATAAGGATGACTACACTTCCACTAGTGCTTATATTGTTTACCTTGGTAGCAATCTGATATCCTGGTCCTCCAAGAAACAACGCACGGTTGCACGCTCCTCCACTGAAGCTGAATATCGTGTTGTCGCTTCTACAGCTGCTGAGTTACGTTGGATTTGTTCTCTTCTAACTGAGCTTGGCATTTGTATTCCTGCT